TTCTCCAGCGGAAGATTTTCCACTTTAGAAACAGAGGTGATCGCCAGAGGAGGCTCTTGAAGCCAGTCTTATTTGAGTTATCAACGTCTTTCCTCAATTGCATCCATAAACCAATTTGAAGGTGAACCTCCCATCCCTCTTTAGCATCCACACATAGTTGTCCTTGACTTGTTGCATGGGTATACATGTGTTACACCTAAAAATCAAAATTTTGACTTTTCCTTGACCTTGAACCAATTGACTGAGTCAAATGGACTTTAGAGTCAGTAAAAGGTTTTAGATCAATCGGTGGTTGCAAGTAAAGATGGGCTGAAGTTAGTCAAAGGCCCAATATGAACGAAAAACCGGTTTGGAGGCAAAGTAGACAAATCGACTTTTTAAAGAGAGTTGGCACCAAGAAGCATAACTGCAAAACAGCTATGGAAGTCAGCCACAATCGCTCTAATTTGTCGATAAATAAAGGTAAGGGAACTGTATAAAGGACATCAGCAAATCAATAACAAGCATTTCATTGTCTTTAAGCTTTTTTCTTAGCTTTTTTAGTTTTCCCTTAGTAGTAGCCAAGCAATAGCATAGTTTTCGTAGCATGTATTGAAGATTGTTCGTTCTTTTTCAATTGTATGAACATGGAGGTAACCTCTCAATCAACTTGTACAATTGTAGACTTGGCTTTATCCTTTAATTAATGGAGTGCATTTGCATCTTTTGTCATGCATATGTTTATCTACTCGTTTTTTTAAGCAATCTAACTTGTTTTATTTCTTTGGAAAATCTTCCTTATTATTTGTTTTTGTTGCATTAGCAAGGTTATCAGTCTTTTGAAACTAGTAACTTGGGGACCAGCCCCCTAATACTCTAGAACAATAATATTTTCCACCTCAATAAGTTTTTTGCCGACAATAATGGGAGAACACTAAACTAAATCCATTTAACTCTGTTGTTGGAAGTTTTTCCCATGGCTCCTAAGCGTTCAACACGTAAAGGAAATACACAGGAAGATGTTAACTCATCTGAACTCAATCCAAAGATTATTTTAGAGGATCAACAAGATCTAGAAAATCAACTGCGGCTAACTAAATACATGGCACACTCTTCTGAACAACTTGAGCCTCAAACACAAAGGCAAGATAAATTGATTCTAGATAAAGGCACTAGTGGAAAAAACATCATTGCAGTGCGCCCAAAACCCACTATTTGCGGCGTTTTGGTGTGTTGCATATGTGGCCGATGCAATTAATCCATATTATTTGCAGCACGCTGAAAATGGTGCAAAAAAATATGGATTAATTGAAGACAAGAAGATAAAAATACCCTAATTTTGATTATGATTAATTACTGTAGAAAAACCCTAATATCAGCATAAATTTTGCAAAAATGAAAGTAAAAACGATAGATCTAGAAAGAGAAAGCGAGAATTACCTGAATAGAGCACGAGGTACCACGAACAACCTGGACTTCTTCGTCTTTGAGCACGAGAATTGAGTAGAGCACTCATAATCACACAGGGAACGCTCGACGACGCCTTGAGACTCTTCTCTCTCTCCTCTACTCTCTAGGTTATTATGAGGTTAGGGTTTTTTGCAAGGGAGGCCAAGACGAAGTTATGTGCTCTAAAATGAAATAAAGGAATATTAATGTATTATATTTGTATTATATTATTTGCAGCGCCTTATATGTGAAACATTGCAAATAAATTTTTTTTGCAGGGTTCAAGAGTAGGGAACGTTGCATTTAATTATGTTATTTGCAACGCGCTTCACTTGGGAGTGCTGCAAATAATTCTCTTAAAAATTTTCCCAAATTTTTGCAGCGTTTTTTTTTAATAAAAAACGCTGCTATTAATTCATTAAAGTTATAAAAAACGCTGCTATTAATTCATTAAAGAGTTAACCCGTGTTGACTAACAACTATTTGCAGCATTCTATACATAGGTTTGCTGTAAATAGTGCGCTGCAAATGACATTTTTTCCACTAGTGAGGAGAAAGTCATTCCCCCTCTAGAAACTCGATACAATATACACAAAATATGTGGATATAGTAAAGAATTTGATGGAAGATTTAAAAGAAAATAATAGAGAGTAGTCTGACAACTACTATCGTATCATGGTAGAAGAAACTGCTAGAGTGGTAACAAACAAGTTAAGAAATTTTGGCTCCACTTCTCAGCAAGCGGTTACCAAACTGGTGGATAGGAACTTTCTAGATATTAATGAAACTCTAAACACTACTAACATTTCTTTATCAAAAAGTGTAGCAACTGAAGTAGTTACAAGATTTGAACCTTTAGTGGAAAAATATAACCAACTCAATGAGAAGTTGATGAAGTTATAAGATTTGAACCTTTAGTGGAAAAACATAACCAACTCAATGAGAAGTTGATGAATGTTCTAACCGCTTTTGGTAGTGGGATTACGAAGCAAAGGGAGAATATCCCTAGAGGAGTAGAAAATATGACTAGATCTCATGCAAATCTGTTCCCTCTATTAGTGCCAAGAAGTATCCTTCCTATTGGTGCTGATGAGGGGTATCGGGGTCAAGGGAGAGTTAATGGTTCAAGACCAAGTTATGAGCTAGGCTATAACCATAATGGTTATAGACCACCTTCCTCGTCTTTGCCCCCACCTGTTACTGCACACCCTATAATCTCTTCAATGGGGACTATACCTCCTATAGGAACAAAGATTATGGTCAATTATGCCAACTATGGTATTGGAAACCTGCCATATACAACATGCCATACACAAGCTGTTGCATCTGCATAAAGGGTGTGTAATACCCCGTATTTTTATACGTATTTTAATTTAAATCATTATTTTATGAAGTATTTAAATAATTTGAAATGAATTATTTATGGTATTTTATTAATTTTAAAAGAATTATTTTAATTAAAGGTCTATTTTTATTTATTTAATTATTTTGAAAATATTTTATTTTATTATTTAGAAACTTAGGGGAATATTATTATATATAAAAAAAATTTAAAGTCAATGGTATTTAAGGAAAGTCAAAGGAATAGTTTGAATAGGAGAATGGATCATTAAGGGTATAAAGGGAATTTAAGCTTAGGAGGGTTTTAGAGAGAAGGTATAAATACCCATCTTATGAATAAGTTAGATCTTGTCCAAGGTGGAGAATACCCAAAGGTAAACTCTCTCTCTCTCTCTCCCCCTCCTCTTATTTTCTCTCTCCTTTAATTTTACCCCTCCCCTTTTTAAATTTTTTTCACGCACCACCACCACCACACACCCGGTGGCCGGCTTCCACCACCACCACAGCTGGCCGCTGCCGCCAGCACAGGGCTGGTAGCAACAACAGCCGTGGGAGGTGGCACCAGACACCCTCCCTTCTCCCCCTTGTTGTGCGTGTGTTTTGTATAAAAAAAAAATTTCTTCTTTGTTTTTTTTTTAAATTATTCTAGCTTTGATTCAATTATTATTTTTGGGCTGTGTGATGATTTTTATGATGTTATATTATAATTATTATGTATATAATTTTTAGATTTGGTTTTTGAATTAAAAAGCACCCAAATTGAATACCCTAGGTTTCTAAATTAATGTATATTGATGGAAATTGATTGTGAGTGATTGAACCTAATAAATTAGATGTTTTTAACATAATTACAACAATTTTACATGTTTTTATAAAGCTGGAATTTTTATATATAGGCTATAATTATGTTTCTTGAAGGGTAATTACCCATTAATTGGGAATAAAAGTAAGGATTTTAAATTAATTTTAAGCTTGTTTTAGAGGGTTTATGAGTGATTTAAAGAGTGTATATATTGCTGGAAATTTATATTGAATAGGTATTAATGTTTCTTTGTAATTTTGGGTTGTAGGAGATTTCCAAGTGAGTGACTTTGTGTAGTCGTGGCAATTTTGAAATCATATTCAAGGTACGTACGCGTACTTGGTAATTATTTAAGTGTATAGAAGCATGCTAGGCTTTGTTTTATTAACTCCAAGGTAGTATCATGATAGGTATTGGTTGAAATTGTTGATTAGATTGATGTTGGTGATTGATTTGTGAAGCATGAATTATTTATGGTGAATTGATGATTGAAATTTATTATATTGACATGTTGAATATGAACTACACTTTTATTATTGGCATGATTGAGTGCATCTTTAATTAAACTAAATGTTTAATCTGGTTTGGAATATAAAAAGGGAATTTTATTGTAGTTCATATAATTTTTATTGATGCTTTAAGCATGGGAAATGAGCTATTAAGTGTCTTAGTACACAGGTATAAATTATATTGCAGTGACTATATGCACTTAAGGTGTTCTAAACACCAAAGGATAGGATCTAGGGTGCTTTATGCGCTTAAGGTGTTATTTAATGCCGAGGTAGTTTATAAAGGGTTCAACATTAAATTTATGTGGTCACTAATTATTCAAGAATTAAATTGATATGTTCGATTGCTTGAATGATTTATTATGATTAATTGTGTTATGGTTTGAGAGTCATCACCAAGTCTAAAAATATGTAAGCAACGTAAAGTGAAAGAGATTATGCACCAAAACTCTTGGAACGTATATACACTAGGCGAAAAATACAAATGGGCACCGGTTCAAAACCCCCATTTCGCACCGGTTTTGGACCGGTCCTTATTTGAGGGATGCCAAAAACCAAAAGATTTCGCACCGGTTCTTGCTATGAACCGGTGCGAAAAATGGCCCCAAAAAAATTAAAAAAAAAAACTTTTAGCACTGGTTCTTGCTGTGAACCGGTGCGAAAAATGACCCAAAAAATTAAAAAAAAACTTTTAGCACTGGTTCTGTTTCAAAACCGGTGCCAAAGATGCTCCAAAAAATAATATTTTTTTTTTTTTGGCATTTTTTTCACTTAAATTGATATATAAACACTAACATCTATATTAAGTTACATATTTTCATTAAAAAAGACTGTAATATTACAATTTTCGTCCAAAAAAATAAAATATAAAATAAAATAACATACAAGGTTACATATTCACCTGTTGTATACTTATTAAGTTGGACCAATGTTTAAGCTCCATAAAGACTAGAAAAGGAAGGAAGGAAATAATCACACAAACCGTGGAAGTTTTATAAATTCATGCCAATAGATTATGAAACAAAACAGGCAACATATACGTGGCAATATGCAGACTTATGTACTGCTCTAATGATAACCAACAGGAGCTGGTGCTTCTTTCAGTTGCCTGCCCTGAAAGTGCAAATCCTGCATGGCGAAAACATATACTTCATCAGTTCAACACCAATTAAAGAGTTATATGGTAAGTTGATAACAGAATACTGCCATAGCTGATCAGGTGAAAAAAGGAAGATGTCTAAATGCAAAATTATTTGATGAAAGACAGGAAGATAGTTCATTAGCAGGCCCATGGATTAGTAAAACAAGTAATAATTTTGGTACTCACAGAAGCAAAATGGTTGACATCACAATGGTGACCTTCGTCACCACGGATCACAGTTATAACATCCTTCAAATTAGCATTCTTTGGCAGCCTCAAGTAGTCAATGGCAGTAGCAGGAGCGCACACATTTTCAATCACACCACTGTCTATGTCCTTCAGATACTCTATGTATGAATGAATTGCCTTTTCTTCCAAGTAACCAACCACTCTGTGAAGAACTGTGAATGCGACAATGGACCCATGAACTGAGATACCTTCTGCAAGACATCAAAAGAACAAACAGCAGTGTTAGAGAGATGTTCTCTATAAAATATGCTAACTAAAAAAGAAATTGATGAGGTAATAAATATTAAAGCATAAGCAGTTAAAAATAAGAATCGCAGACTGCTTTTCTCCAAAGTCAACTTCACAGCTCAATTTTTATTTTTTCATGGCATTTGTTAGCCCAAATATCATGAAATTAATAACATAACCAAATCCAAGGTTCCAAGAGTTCCCTTATAGCCAAGATAAGGGATGCATACACTAATACACAACAGTTTCCCTTAAAATAAGTCTTTATTAATATGAAATGCAAATTAATTTCTCGTTTAATTGACTCTTTTAATTTTTTTATTAGAGGTTAAGAACTTTCCATAAGTTAATCTTGTCGACCGGTGATTAATTTTGAGCTAAAGGCTTTAGATAGACTTTCTAAAGCTTCTTCCCCCTTTCATTCTCTGAGCCAGAATTTTGAATTATACATAAAGTGGAAGAGATTTTAGGTCTCTATCACTAAAATGTTTTCTACACCATTTGTGGCAAGACTTTTCTATCACTTGTTAATGAATTCATATTATATAAACCATATTAATCATCACCTTGAATCTCAAGAAGACAAGAACAATGCATTTAAAACAATAATAAACAAAAAAAGCTAAGGGTTGAGCAAAGAAGTAGCTAGCTTAGCATACCTCAATTGTCTCAATATGCCGAGAAGAGGGAACAACAGCCAGATGCATCTTGATCTCATCCTTACAGTAACCCTCCATATTAGCCTTCATCTCAAAAGAAAAGGGTGGTCTTTGAATACTTGAGCGCTGCACAAAAAGACTTACAGCATAACAACAATAATATAATTTCACAGCAAAAGTTCATATAAAATATTGTAGCAAAATAATAATTGAGTGTAGTTTGTCCTGATACACACATTATTGCAACAGGATGTAAGAAGAGAAAAAAATTCATAGATCTCCAAAGTAGATACAAAGCTGACAGAGTAAGTAGCAACCATGTTGGGATCCAATTCTTTGTATGATTCCTAATTGGAGATTGTACTCTCCCGCAGGACTGCAAGTAGTTTACCAGCATTAAAATGCTGTTAAACATGAGGCAGAAATCTGTCCAAAGCAATCTGTTCATAATACCATTTCAAAAATCAGACAAACAATCACGCAAAATAGTCTAGCTTAACACTTGGACACGTATATGTGTCTAATACAAGTACCCAAGTCCAAATAAAATGCAAATTTCTTTAAATTTCTTTAATGTCCAAATCCTCCACAAAACCACAATCATTATTCACTGTGATCAAGATAGAAACAATATGTAAGAAAAATTATGTGCATTAAGACAAGTAAAAACAGCCTAAAACAGTATATGACCTTGAGATTGTTATAATTCTGTACTTTATGGAAGACATAATCAAGACTTGTGACAAATAGTTAGAGGGAGAAAACATCAAATCTGCAATTGATCGAGACAGAGGTATTAATAGGTAGAGCATGATTAAACATTGTACTAGAAGTTTAAAAGGCAGCCATTACATTACCAAAATGAACTCCCCACTCAGCATATTGTTCATAAAGCGATAATAAAAATGCTCATTTGCATTTCTTAAGAAAAATTATGTGCACTAAGACAGGTTAAAACAGCCTAAAACAGTATATGACCACTCAACATTTCTCAACAAACTAAATATATCAACAAGTAACATCACAATTTCACAAACTATTTACTAACACACTAGCCCTTATAAATAACAAGTTCACATAAGATCAAACACCTAAATCAGATTAAAACCCTAAAAAACAAAAAAACCCCAATAGCAATAGTAATCAATCAGTAATATGATAAATTAAATTGAAAAAAATATGGCAAGAAAAATCATACCAAGGAACCAAATTCATGGGCAGAATTCGATTCAAGAACTGCAGCAATTAGCACAGCATGACCAGACCACCTTTGATTAACCCGATACGAAGAGTTTTAATCTTCAGCAATCACCAAAATTTTATCTTGATGTACACTGATCAACCAATTGTTCAAAAAATCAAAGTAAGGTTCACTAACTATACATACGATGACAGTCCCATTTCGCCCAACAAACGAAATAGCTTCTTCGAGGGAGTAATTTCGCCATTTAGATTGAAAAGCGAAGTTGGTATTTGAGAAAGAACGGAGGAAAATGCTACAAATTGCCTACTCCGTACTTAGATAGCACGATTGTTATGAACAATAACCAACATTAAAATGTAATAACTATAAATAACACAATTGTCTTCGTCAAATTAACCCTAGAATTTCAAACTTGTTCAATTCAAATTGAATCTTTAAAATAAAGAAAGAGAGATTACTTAGACCAGATCTATGCAGAAAACATTGATAAAGGAAAGATTTGGAGGAGCGGAGAAGAATGCGACGGCGAAGAGTGACGATAGTGGTGGAGCTGTGGAGAGCAGGTGAAGTGTGAGGGTGACAGTGGGTCATGAGAACCTCGAAGCGGCTCCGGTGAGGATGACGGTGACTGGGAAAGTCGCGGCTGCTCAAAATCGCAGCCCTCATAGAAGATGAAGAAGAATGAAGGAGGTGAGAGAGGAGGAGATTTCGAGGAAAGAGAAAGAAAGAAGATATTTCGGTTTTTTTTTTTCATAGCATTCGCACGGGTTCGAACCGAACCGGTGCGAAAAACTCATTTTTCCCACAGGTTTGGTTCAAATCGGTGCGAAAACTCTTTCCCTCAATCCCGCTTGTTTTTTTTTGCACCGGTTTTTAAAAACTGGTGCGCATTGTGCGGTGCTCATTTAAGTTTTTCTACTAGTGATACCTTGAGTATGAACATATGGGGGGAGTTATGGGATTTTATATTTAACCATGACTTCTACTAGGAGTAAAGGACGCTGTATTTTCCTTTTTATTATTTATTACGTGCAGGACGTCCAGTCACTTCATGTGGCATTTACCTACCCGGTTAGCTCCCGGTGTTTCACGGGGTATTAGCCGTGCAATTTTCAGAGGCCGTCTGATCTACGAGTCTCTTGTTTTAAATTCTTTTAAAATTATAATGAGTTAGATGAGATCTCATACTAGCTATGGCCACAGGAGTCGCGCCCGTCTGCCATTGGATGTTTATTAATGTCTTTCGAAAGGAGGCATAGGGTTTTCTTATTTAATGTTCCGGAATGGAGCACAGGGGGACAACCCGGTCTATTGGTTAATCCAATTAAATTAATGAAGTGATCAGTATTATTTAGAGAAACTTTGTAATAAGTAACAATTGAACCATGTGTTCGAGTCAATGATTATATTGTGAGTGTATGAAATGCTTGTTAGTATCATGCTAGAACTCTTTACTATATTTCGTAACTTGTATGTACTCAGCGTTGCTGATTGCGTGCTTTTGTGTGTTTTCTTTGGTCATGGCCTTCGCCTTCAATGACCCTGTAATGATCCAATGATTACACTTGTAATATTGGGGAGCAGATTCATCACAGGTTTTTGCATAAACTGTCTTGCATCAGGGTGATGGGATTTGAGTGGAGCGTTGGTTAATTACTTAGCTTATTTCACTTCATAGACTGAGTTTATTTTGACTATAATTTTACTTACTTCCTATTTTATATGGATTTTGAATAAGGGCCTTTATGGTTCCAACTTGTAAGTCTAAAGCTTGATTTTGGTTTTTAGTTTCAAAACTTATATCCTTTTCTTTTTTTTAAAAAAAAAAAAAACTAAGGTAGTTTTCCGCTGCTGATTTCTGAAACTACCCTTAACGTTTGAACACGTGGCGGTAGCACTCCAATAATTCTCTTACAGGTTTTACAGGTTCTTACAGGTTATACAGGGTATTACAAGTTTTTGCAGTTTTTCATTTAGAGAGAATTATTTGGTGTTACAAAGTGGTATCAGAGCATTATTTACCTCATTTATGTCATTTATTACCGTAAGTTTGCATGATCTTGCTTATTACTGCCAAGTATTGTTGTGTTTGCATGCTAATAAAGTACGTAAACTTTGGCTAAGTATGAGTTTATGGAGAATGAGCTCAGTTTGTTAGGCATATATGATTGAGAAACAAGCAAATTGCAGCAATACAAAACGTAATAGTTTTGAGAAATTATGGATTTTGGGTAAGTTTCGGGGACGAAACTTCTTTTAAGAGGGGTAGATTGTAATCCCCCATATTTTCTTAGTAAATAATAATTATATATATTTTTATGTATACGACTATTTTAATAATTTTATATTTATACAATAAATTTATATTTATGCAAAAATATTTTTGGGAAGATTTCACAAAATAAAAACAAGAATTTTTAAACCCATACTTCCATTTCAATTAAGTAAACTTACCCCTTATTCCCCCTCATTCACATTTTAATTAAGGTAAGGTGCTCCTTATTTCCCCTTCTTAAAACCCTCCTAAAAACCTACTGCTTCCCCTACTCCTTCTCCCTTACTTCCCTACCTCATTCACGAAACACACAAAAAAAAAAAACAAATTCGCTGCTCCTCTGCTGCGCTGCTGCTGCCTCAGCCGGAACCCACCACCGCGGCACCACCGGCGACCCTCGCTGCTGCCCTCAGCCCTGCTGCCGCCGCCGGTTTCCTCTACTTCCCCCTCTCTTCTACCTTCCTTTCTTTTCTTGTTTAAATTGCTTCAAAGCTTTAATTTTTTTTTTATATGAATTCATCAATGATTTATAATTATCATGGTTTAATTATGTTATGAGTTATAAAGAATGTAAATTTATGAATTTTACTTTACTCGAATTATGGAACTAAAATTCAGATTTTATTTATGCGAGAATTGGGGTTTTAAGTGTTGAATTTTCATGATTTGTGGGTTTAGAACGTGAAGATTGAATTACCCAATTATAATTCATGTAAATTATGTTTAAATTCAAATATCTAGATTAAACCGAAATTTCAGATTTGAATTATGTACGTTTTAGGGTTTGAAATCGTGATTTTCGTAAGTTTTAGGGCTTAAACCATGAATAATTGATTTAACTAATTACCTTGTATTTAAATGTGGTTCTACCCTTAATTTTTGATGAGTATAGTAATTTTCAGATTTTTAATCTTAACTTTAAATATCTTTAAGTCATGGTTTTATGATGGGTTTTCAAGTTCTCAACATATTAACGTACTATATAATGATTGTTTCAAGTGAAAATGTTTGCGAGATTGTTTTACATGCTTATAACGAATTTTCAGATTTATTACATCACTTTAAAGTTGCTGAAATTTTTGCTATAAGCCATATTTTTGTGATTTAAGCATATAAACTCATAGTTCAAGTACTAAATTATTAACTTTGGCTATTGGGAATAATTTGAGAACATTATTTCAATGATTTAAAGGATTTTAAAATAGTTTAGTATTGCTGTAAATTATGTTGCATGGGTATTAATTGAGCTATTGTTGTTTTGTTTAGGAGAGGACTTCGTAGAAGGTGACTTCTAGTCTTAAGGTGGCCAAACAATTTGTGTACTCCAGGTACGTATAAGAATACGAGAAACCTTGATTTTAGGAGCATGTTTAGGGACTTGGAAAAACCTAGAATTATGCTAGGGAACTTGTGGATTGGTTGAAATTGTTTGATTGGTAATGAGTTGATTGATGATAAATGTGATGATTGGTGTAATTTATGCATGAGAAAATTTGCATTGATTTTTCCTTACGAGCATTATTTATAAAATACTTTACAAGGAGAGCTTAGAAGTAAAACTACAAGTATACATATGGAATGAATCATTTTAATTACTTATTCATTTGTATTGAAATGGAATGAGTAAAGGAAGAGTTAAAGTCTTATAAGACAAGATTGTGGATATGAGGTACCTTATGCATTTAAGGTGTTTATACACCGAGGAAGTTAAAGGATTCAATAATGAATGTTGTTTGTCACTAATAAATTAAGAATTAAATTGGAAACTTGAATGATTGGAATGATCGATGTATGATTGGTTGCGTTGTTTGCATATGAGTCATCACCAAATTTAAACTAGTATCACGTAAAGTGCAAGAAGGATGAGCAATAAAACTCTGGATTTGTGCACATCTAGAGTAATGACAAATAGGGGTTGGGGTTCACGGGGTATTAGCCGTGCACTTTTCAGAGGCCGTCTGATCTACGAGTCTCTTGTTTTAAATTCTTTTAAAATTATAATGAGTTAGATGAGATCTTATACTAGCTATGGCCACGGAGTCACGCCCGTCTGCCATTGGATGTTTATTAATGTCTTCCGAAAGGAGGCATAGGGTTTTCTTATTTAATGATCCGGAATGGAGCACAGGGGGACAACCCGGTCTATTGCTTAATCCAATTAAATTAATGAAGTGATCAGTATTATTTAGAGAAACTTTGTAATAAGTAACAATTGAACCATGTTTTCGAGTCAATGATTATATTGTGAGTGTATGAAATGCTTGTTAGTATCATGCTAGAACTCTTTACTATATTTCGTAACTTGTATGTACTCAGCGTTGCTGATTGCGTGCTTTTGTGTGTTTTCTTTGGTCATGGCCTTCGCCTTCAATGACCCTGTAATGATCCAATGATTACACTTGTAATATTGGGGAGCAGATTCATCACAGGTTTTTGCATAAACTGTCTTGCATCAGGGTGATGGGATTTGAGTGGAGCGTTGGTTAATTACTTAGCTTATTTCACTTCATAGACTGAGTTTATTTTGACTATAATTTTACTTACTTCCTATTTTATATGGATTTTGAATAAGGGCCTTTATGGTTCCAACTTGTAAGTCTAAAGCTTGATTTTGGTTTTTAGTTTCAAAACTTATATCCTTTTCTTTTTTTTAAAAAAAAAAAATAAAAACTAAGTTAGTTTTCCGCTGCTGATTTCTGAAACTACCCTTAACGTTTGAACACGTGGCGGTAGCACTCCAATAATTCTCTTACAGGTTTTACAGGTTCTTACAGGTTATACAGGGTATTACAAGTTTTTGCAGTTTTTCATTTAGAGAGAATTATTGGGGTGTTACAAAGTGGTATCAGAGCTTAGGTTTGATCTAATTACCACTAAAGCCAATTAGTATGTCTTAGGCGCCTAACTAATCAATTAAGGATTTTGTTTTTAAAATTCAAAAATGATTTTAAATTTTAACTGTGTTTGAATTAATTGTTTTAAATGTTTATAAAATAACTTTGAAGCTTAAATTATTTATTTGGTGAGATTTGGGTAGAATTAGAAAGGGCATGAATGCATATTGATTACCTTGCATTTATTTAATTATTTTGCAAGTTGCTTAGTTAATAAATTGTGTGATGGTGTTCTAATTGAAATTCTTTCATCATGTGTTTGTGTTATGCTTTTCGAATGCTCGTTACTTCGGGATGACGTAGAGAAGAGATAAGTGACGCAGTAATCATGTCTAAGGAGGAGAGAGACTCTAGCAGTGAAGATACTATAGAAACTATGGAAAGGATTCTAACTCCGAAGCTTGACCAATCGGAGGAAGGTTATCAGGACTTGCATGAGTTTAAAACGGCTAAGAACAAAAAGAATAAGGTCAAAACTTACAAGAGAATTTTTCATGAGATGACTCTTATTTTCTCGGACGATGAAGATGACCTTGAATGGATGCTTAGAGAACCTGCGGATCCAAATGCTGGAAAGAGAACTACTAGGAATCCGAATCCGCTTTACAAGGCTATAATTATTGAAGACTCGAAAGATGAAAATGACCCTGATTTTGACATTAACATTTATAATGAGAAGAAAGACAAGTATTTTGATGTGGTCCCTTAAAGATTAGGCTTATTAGAATACAGCTAGTATTAGTAAGGTATTTGCTATCAATAATGGTTATTAGAACCTCATGTTGTTTTGACATTGACTATTGGATTTTAATAAGTAGCTAGAGCTACGGAGTTATGGATTGAGATTAATACTTTTATTGGAGTTATAATAAGAGTGATTATTCTATTATAAGGATCCTGAGTCTGATTATATGTTTTATTCAAGACCAATATAAGTTTTGTGATTACATATAATTTTGAGGAAAAAAAAAATTTCCTTGTTTATGATTAAGCTGAGTAAGAGTGGCGCGGGATGGGAATTATTTTTCTTAACTTTACTTAATCCTGTGTGTGGATTGTTCTATTATTGTCTGATTTTTCTTGGGACGAAGGGGTGCAAAGACCAAAGTACCCTTTTCAACCAATCTATGTGATAAAATGTAATAATGTGATTGAATGAATATATGCATACGATGTTTGAATTCGGTTTAAGCTGGAGTGAATGCTTACCTTCTTTCAGACGTAAAATTAGAATGGCGAATAATGTTGCGTTAGCTGAGGCCATCCGCATGTTGGCTGAGAATTTGAATCAGGATCGAGCTGACCAACTTGATCCCCATGCTGAGATGTTCAAGAAGTTGGCTCAAGTTAGGCCACCAGTTTTCAAGGGAGGTGCTGATCCAACTTTCCTGGAAAACTGGGTTCGAGAGTTTGATAAGCTATTTGTGGCACTGAATTGTCCAGAGGGTATGAAAGTTGATCAAGCTGCTATGTACCTTAAGGATGAGGCTGATATATGGCGGAGAGATAATGTTGAAATAATTAAGGCCAAACCAAACTTTGGGTGGGAAGTGTTTGAAACTGCATTGAGGGATAAGTTTTACCCCCCATTTTTAAAGAAGCAGAAGGCTCAGGAGTTCATTAACTTATAGATGGGCCGAATGTCGATTTCGGAGTACTATAATAGGTTTATGACCCTTGCTAGGTTAGCCCCTGAGGTTGTCCCGACTGAGGAACTGAAGGCTCAGAGATTTGAACAGGGATTGACCAAACAGTTGCAGAAAGACCTAGCTGGGAAAGTCTTTAAGACCCTAGATAAGGTGTATGAGAGAGCTTCACAAATGTACCATTTGAATTCTAGGGATGTGGGGGAGAGTGCTAAGGTCGGAGAGAAGAGGAAGGACTTTGGGAACTCTGAAAACCAAGGTCACTTCAAGAAGTTTAAGGATGGGGGCTCATCTGAGAGCAATAACCAGAATGTTGCAGGTTTTCTAACGCTAACAATGGAGAGAGGGAGTTCAACTGCAAGAGATGTAGGAGAAACCACCCTGGGAGAGACTGTGAGGGAAATTTGGTGACTTGTAGGTTTTGCAACAAGAAGGGGAATAGAGAGTATGAATGTTATACTAAACTGAACCAACAGGGGAATAGTGGAAATGGTGGAAACAACCAACCGAGGTCTAGTAATTCCTATAACCAGGTAGAAAAGAGAAATGGGCAGAATGGTCAAAATGGGAAGTTCGGGAATGGTAACAGCAATGGCAACAATAGACCTGGCAATGGCAACAACAACTCTGACAATGGCAACAATGGTCACCAAGGAAAGAGCAACACTCTCGGGCGCTGGTCTGTGATGAGCAAAGGAGAGGCTAAAAGGTCCTCAGATGTAGTCACTGGTACTTTTCCTATTCACTCTGTTTCTGTCAAAGCCTTGTTTGATTCTGGAGCAACTTACTCTTTCATCCCTACTTCTGTTGTACGCAAATTAAACTTATCTGAGTCGAGTCATGTCGATGTGTTAGTCAGTTTGCCTACTGGCAAACTTGTGCATTACAATAGGTTATTCAAAGGCTTGCCTTTGAAAATATGAGAGGCTGTTTTTCCATCGAATCCTATTGAGTTTGATTTGAGAGACTTGGATGTCATTCTGAGGATGGACTGGCTAAATTTATACAAGGCTAAGATAGACCGTGAGATACAGAGAGTGCACCTGAGTGATCCTTTGGGTAAGACGATGTCTTATAGGCGTTTTTGGAAGCCGAAGGGCATTGTGATCATTTCTGCTTTAAAGGTTAGGAAGTTGGTGAATAAAGGGTATCCATTATACTTTTGTTGTGTCCAAGATTTGAGTAAGGGTGAGAATAGCCGGATTGAGGATGTACCCATTGTGAATGATTTTTTTTTTTTTTTAGATGTCTTTTCGGATGAGATTTTGGGTATGCCACCTAAACAAGAAGTTGAGGTTGCCATTGACCCAATTCTAAGAGCTGCACCTACTTCTAAAGCACCCTATAGAAAGGCACCAGCTGAGATGAGTGAGCTGAGTGAGCCGAAGGTTCAATTGCAGGAGTTACTAGATAAGGAGTTTATTGGGCATAGTGTATCACCTTGGGGAGTACCAGTCTTGTCGTGAGCAAGAAGGATGGAAGTTTGAGGCTATGTATTGATTACTGAGAGTTGAATAATGTGACTGTGGAGGATAAGAACCCTTTTACCGAGGATATATGACTTGTTTGACAAGCTGAAAGGGGCAAGTGTGTTTTCGCAAACCGATTTGAGGTTGGGGTACCACAAGTTGAAGGTTATAGACATTTCAAAAACAACCTTTAGGACTCGTTATGGGCATTATGAATTACAGTAATGCCTTTTAGTCTAACCACGACTACGAGGAGGCTACTTGGGAAGCCGAAGAAGGGATGAGAAAGAAATACCGCGAGTTATTTGACGAGGTGAGTTACGAGGGCGTAACTCTTTTCTTTTAAGAGGGGTAGAATGCAATGTGATTTCGCGTTTTTACCTCATTTATGTCATTTATTACCGTAAGTTTGTATGATCTTGCTTATTACTGCCAAGTATTGTTGTGTTTGCATGCTAATAAAGTACGTAAACTTTGGCTAAGTATGAGTTTATGGAGAATGAGCTTAGTTGTTAGGCATATATGATTGAGAAACAAGCAAATTACAGCAATACAAAACGTAATAGTTTTGAGAAATTATGGATTTTGGGTAAGTTTCGGGGACGAAACTTCTTTTAAGAGGGGTAGATTGTAATCCCCCATATTTTCTTAGTAAATAATAATTATATATATTTTTATGTATACGACTATTTTAATAATTTTATATTTATACAATAAATTTATATTTATGCAAAAATATTTTTGGGAAGATTTCACAAAATAAAAACAAGAATTTTTAAACCCATACTTCCATTTCAATTAAGTAAACTTACCCCTTATTTCCCCTCATTCACATTTTAATTAAGGTAAGGTGCTCCTTATTTCCCCTTCTTAAAACCCTCCTAAAAACCTACTGCTTCCCCTACTCCATCTCCCTTACTTCCCTAACTCATTCACGAAACACACAAAAAAAAAAAAAAAACAAATTCGCTGCTCCTCTGCTGCGCTGCTGCTGCCTCAGCCGGAACCCACCACCGCGGCACCACCGGCGACCCTCGCTGCTGCCCTCAGCCCTGCTGCCGCCGCCGGTTTCCTCTACTTCCCCCTCTCTTCTACCTTCCTTTCTTTTCTTGTTTAAATTGCTTCAAAGCTTTAATTTTTTTTTTTATATGAATTCATCAATGATTTATAATTATCATGGTTTAATTATGTTATGAGTTATAAAGAATGTAAATTTATGAATTTTACTTTACTCGAATTATGGAACTAAAATTCAGATTTTATTTATGCGAGAATTGGGGTTTTAAGTGTTGAATTTTCATGATTTGTGGGTTTAGAACGTGAAGATTGAATTACCCAATTATAATTCATGTAAATTATGTTTAAATTCAAATATCTAGATTAAACCGAAATTTCAGATTTGAATTATGTACGTTTTAGGGTTTGAAATCGTGATTTTCGTAAGTTTTAGGGCTTAAACCATGAATAATTGATTTAACTAATTACCTTGTATTTAAATGTGGTTCTACCCTTAATTTTTGATGAGTATAGTAATTTTCAGATTTTTAATATTAACTTTAAATAGCTTTAAGTCATGGTTTTATGATGGGTTTTCAAGTTCTCAACATACTAACGTACTATATAATGATTGTTTCAAGTGAAAATGTTTGCGAGATTGTTTTACATGCTTAAAACGAATTTTCAGATTTATTACATCACTTTAAAGTTGCTGAAATTTTTGCTATAAGCCATATTTCTGTGATTTAAGCATATAAACTCATAATTCAAGTACTAAATTATTAACTTTGGCTATTGGGAATAATTTAAGAACATTATTTCAATGATTTAAAGGATTTTAAAATAGTTTAGTATTGCTGTAAATTATGTTGCGTGGGTATTAATTGAGCTATTGTTGTTTTGTTTAGGAGAGGACTTCGTAGAAGGTGACTTCTAGTCTTAAGGTGGCCAACCAATTTGTGTACTCAAGGTATGTATAAGAATATGAGAAACCTTGATTTTAGGAGCATGTTTAGGGACTTGGAAAAACCTAGAATCATGCTAGGGAACTTGTGGATTGGTTGAAATTGTTTGATTGGTAATGAGTTGATTGATGATAAATGTGATGATTGGTTTAACTTATGCATGAGAAAATTTGCATTGATTTTTCCTTATGAGCATTATTTATGCAATACTTTACAAGGAGAGCTTAGAAGCAAAACTACAAGTATACATATGGAATGAATCATTATAATTACTTTTTCATTTGTATTGAAATGGAATGAGTAAAGGAAGAGTTAAAGTCTTATAAGACAAGATTGTGGATATGAGGTACCTTATGCATTTAAGGTGTTTATACACCGAGGAAGTTAAAGGATTCAATAATGAATGTTGTTTGTCACTAATAAATTAAGAATTAAATTGGAAACTTGAATGATTTGAATGATCGATGTATGATTGGTTGCGTTGTTTGCATATGAGTCATCACCAAATTTAAACTAGTAAATCACGTAAAGTGCAAGAAGGATGAGCAATAAAACTCTGGATTTGTGCACATCTAGAGTAATGACAAATAGGGGTTGGGGTTCACGGGGTATTAGCCGTGCACTTTTCAGAGGCCGTCAGATCTACGAGTCTCTTGTTTTAAATTCTTTTAAAATTATAATGAGTTAGATGAGATCTTATACTAGCTATGGCCACGGAGTCACGCCCGTCTGCCATTGGATGTTTATTAATGTCTTCCGAAAGGAGGCATAGGGTTTTCTTATTTAATGTTCCGGAATGGAGCACAGGGGGACAACCCGGTCTATTGCTTAATCCAATTAAATTAATGAAGTGATCAGTATTATTTAGAGAAACTTTGTAATAAGTAACAATTGAACCATGTTTTCGAGTCAATGATTATATTGTGAGTGTATGAAATGCTTGTTAGTATCATGCTAGAACTCTTTACTATATTTCGTAACTTGTATGTACTCAGCGTTGCTGATTGCGTGCTTTTGTGTGTTTTCTTTGGTCATGGCCTTCGCCTTCAATGACCCTGTAATGATCCAATGATTACACTTGTAATATTGGGGAGCAGATTCATCACAGGTTTTTGCATAAACTGTCTTGCATCAGGGTGATGGGATTTGAGTGAAGCGTTGGTTAATTACTTAGCTTATTTCACTTTATAGACTGAGTTTATTTTGACTATAATTTTACTTACTTCCTATTTTATATGGATTTTGAATAAGGGCCTTTATGGTTCCAACTTGTAAGTCTAAAGCTTGATTTTGGTTTTTAGTTTCAAAACTTATATCCTTTTTTTTTTTTTAAAAAAAATAAGGTAGTTTTTTCGCTGCTGATTTCTGAAACTACCCTTAACGTTTGAACACGTGGCGGTAGCACTCCAATAATTCTCTTACAGGTTTTACAGGTTCTTACAGGTTATACAGGTTTTACAGGTTATACAGGGTATTACAGGTTTTTGCAGGTTTTCTTTTAGAGAGAATTATTGGGGTGTTACAGTTTACCTCAATTTATTTGGGAAAGATTTTGGTTGGAAACCCGTTCAATGTGTATTTGTTGTGTGCTTGAAAACAGGTGCATCACGATAATTTAGTGGTCTATTTATTTGTGGGTGGTGTTGTGTGCTTGAAAACAGGTGCATCAAGAAAATTTGTGTGTTGATAAGATTAAAGCATGTTAGTGTGTACTGTTTACGCTTATGTACCCAGCATTGTTGATTGTGTGTGTTGTATTTTTGTTTGGCCTTGTCTTTATCTTGGCCCTACGACGACCCATTACTAATGGCGAGTAGTGGGGACAAAGTAAAGAGGAGCTTTTCAGGTGTGGAAGCATATTCATGATGGGCATGAGTGGAGAGAGAATCATGTTTAGTTTTCATAAGAATATGATGTGGTTTTATTGCTTTAACTATTATATATTTTTCTTGTGAGACTAACGCAAAGGTTTTTAAGTATTTATTTTGGTTTTATCAAGGGCCTGCAATAGTTCCAAGTTGTAGGTTGTTTTTGTTTGACTTTGGTTTGACTTCTTAAGTTGACTTGTTTTGAATGGTTTTTAAAGAGTGTCTTCCGCTATGTGTCTTTGATAATTGCCTTGGCCGGTTTCACGGTGGCGGTAATGTCTTAGAATTTCCTATTTTGTATTTTAAAAGGGCAAAACAGGTATTTAAAGGAAAGGAATTTCTGGAGTGTTACAAAGTGGTATTAGAGCCAGGTTGAGACTTTTATTATCACTAAAGCCAAAAACGTGTTTTAAAGTATTTCGTTTTAAACTTGGCCAAGTGTTTATTAAACTGTGCTACCTATTACCTCAGGGGTAAAGCTGACATTTGGTGGCAATAAAATGAGGCTACAATTAAGGAGTTACCTAGGTTTAATTGGATTATGTTTCGGGAGAAGGTCAGGGACAAGTTTTACCCTAGGTTCTTAGAGAAACAAAAGGCTGAGGAATTTGCTAACTTAGCAATGGGAGAAATGTCAGTGACTGAGTACTACACCAAGTTTATTGAACTATCACGATTTGCCAAGGAGTCTATTGCTACAGAAAAGTCAAAGGCTAGGAAGTTTGGGAGTGAATTGACTACTGATTTGCAACTAAAGCTGTGTGGACAAGTGTTCGAAACCTTGGATGAAGTGTATGGGAGAGCTTCACACCTTTATGCGTTGGAGTTGAAGAAAAAGAAAGAGTTAGCTGAGGTATAAGGGAAGGAAAAGAGAAAGGAGGTGGGGCAAAACTCTGGAAACCCGCACGGTAACTAGAATAATTTTAAGAAGCAAAAGTACCACCATAACAACAACTTCCACAATAACAACAATTTCCAAGGTAACAATCGCCAAGGTGGGCGGAACTTTAATGGTGGAGCTAGGAAAACTAACCAAGGAAATAAAAAAGGACCAAGGCATTTCTACTGCAAGAGGTGTAGGAACGACCACCCTGGTAAGGATTGTGAGGGAAATTTGGTTACTTTTCGCGCTTGTAACAAGTTGGGACAGGGAGTATGAGTGCTTCTCCAAATATCCTAATCGAAACAAGAAAGGAAATAATCAAGGAGGGGCTCAAAGGAACTTTTAGGGAAACAACAACTATTCAGGGAACAAGGGGGCACAACAGAATGGAACAAGAAGCAACAATAATGGGAATAATCAGGTGAAGAGTGGAGCTCCAGGAACTCAACGTGATGAGTAGGCATGAGGCTGATTACACGAAAGATGTTATCACTGGTACCTTTTCTATGAACTCTATTCCTGTTAAAGTTTTGTTTGATTCTGGTGCAACCTTTTCTTTTATTTCAAAGGTCATTGTTTCAAAACTATGCACTTGATTTAATAAACACTTGGCCAGGTTTAAGACGAAATACTTTAAAACACGTTTTTGGCTTTAGTGGTAATAAAAATCTCAACCTGGCTCTGATACCACTTTGTCACACCCTAGAAATTCTTTTCCTTTAAAATACCTGTTTTCCCTTTTTAAATACAAAATAGGAAATTATAAGACATTACCGCCACCGTGAAAACGGTTAAGGCAATTATCAAAGACACACAGTGGAAGATTGTCTTTAAAAACCATACAAAACAAGTCAACTTAAGAAGTCAAACCAAAGTCAAACAAAAACAACCTACAACTTGTTGCACTGTCAAGTGTTTATTAAATCAAGTTTAAAACAAAACTTGGCCAAGTGTTTATTAAATCAAGTTTTGTTTTGAAATTGTTGCACTGTCTAGCGCTGTGATGGCTTATGAAAGATGTCTAGAAGAAGAGTCTAGGTCTAAGCATAAGTATTATGCTAGAATTGCAGAAGAATGTGATCAGGAAGAAATGTGTATGAGGCAGCGATAGCTGAGTTTGTGCAAGGTCCTTCACTTAAGTGTCCACCCTTAACTAACAAGAAGTTTACTTATAAAAAGACTTACAATCTGATCATAAAAAAAGAGTATACCTTTGATATTAGAAGGTGTGATGAAATCTTTCAATGGTTGTTGCGTCATAAAAAGATTAAGTTAGCAGGGAGACACAAAACTAGAAGTCTTGAAGAAGTTAAAGGAAATAACTACTGTAAATGGCATGATGATTTTACTCATAAGACTAGCGATTGCATAATATTCAGAAATAAGATTCAGGATGACATATATAAAAAAACACATAAACTTCGCTGATGATAAAGTTAGCTCTTGTGAAATTAGAATCAGAGTCTTCATTTGAGTATGAAGTTTATGAAGTGAATTGTTTCATGGTGAGTTCTAACATGGATATTGGGCAGGATAATATACAGAGGCTGAAAGAAGTTACTATTGCAGTTAGATTGTATGAAATGCTAGTTAAGGAAGGAGTAATTGTATCACCACAATGCTAGGATGATGACTATGAAAATATGATGATATGTAGATGGCACTTTAGCTCTGTCCATGCCACTAATGAGTGTTTGGCTTTCAAAGGGTTTTTGAACAAGAAGATCAAAATAAATGCAGTAAGGATCTCAGAGCAAGAATATCAAGCGATGAACCTTGCTGAATATATACAACCCTAAGGGAAAGAAAGATAAGGCCATGATGCTAGAAACTAACTGGAGATCGTCTGAAAAGATGAGCAACCAGATTTAGAAGGCATAGTCTTACAAAGAGGCAATTCAAAAGTTCCCATTGCAAACCAAAGCAGTTGAGGGACTCAAGAATTTGCAACACAATATTTGTCACTCATGTGCAAATCTGTTACATTTTGAATTGGTCAGGACTTAAACTATTCCAAATGACCCAAATTGAATACTTAGACACCAAAGGTTCCATCAAAAGGGAAGGATAGATATAGCACATCTTACTTCTTCTGTGATGATTAGACTAAGTTAACAAGGTGAATGAAGGAAAAGAGAATATTGGTAGGGCTTTGGCTATGGTTAAACAAGAAGAACATGTGAGCATGAAAAGAAGAACAAAAGGAGTGTTAAAAGAGAAAGTGACAAAGAATGATACTGTGAAGCTTAAGGAGAAAAGGAAATCCATCAAAAAGGCGAAATAAGTCAGAAGAAGTTTGAGCAGCCAGATTCAAACGATGACAGTTTAGTTAGATGAAGATGCTCTACAAAAGGGGGTCCTTAGAACCATCCCTTCACAAATTGTACAACCTGGAGTTGACACAGTGATTGAACAATTGATGGATGGTAAGAAGTCTATTGAAGTGCTTAGCGATGATATCCAAAATCATCCCATAGTGAAGGAATTGATGGAGAACATCCCAGAAAAAGATTATAATCCAGAATCTTATAAGGAAGAAATCTTAGGTGATGATCTGATGGCCACATACCAACCTGCGCATGAGTTAGTAGACTATGACCTGGAGGGTCTTGATTTAGAAGTCTCAAAGTTAGATCTGGAATTTCTGGTAAAGTATTCAGAAGAGGATTGCGAGGCAGATTACAATACCGTGACTTTACCAGTGGAGTTTACAGCTCAAGTGGTGAATTCTGGCACTAATTCATGAGCAGATGAAGCGGATCAAGCAGAAGCCGGGGGTAAGAATAAACTCGATCTCTACTATATTTGCTGAATTGAATAAGGCAACATCTAGCTCCCCAACTAGAGAAACAGTGACACATGATCAGGAACAGTTAGTCATTCAACACTTGCTAAGAAATTACAATGTTAATAATGCACATAACAAACGTCTTTTAGTGACCGTAAACTTAGAAGGGTTTGAGCTCGGAAAAGTGTTAGTTGATATAGGAGCCACTATAAACCTGATGCCTTTGTCTGTTTTTAAAAAAATTGGTAAAATCAAGAAAGATATAGCTAGTGTTAAAATTAACATTGCTGGTTTCAATGGTAAGTCTAAACGTACTGAAGGGTTAGCATGTATTAAAATCCAAGTAGGTACAACTAGGACTGTTTCATCATTCTTTATAGTAAGAGGAGAAGCATCTTGCAATGCTATCCCTAGGTAGAGAATGGTTGCATCAAACGTATGCTATCCCCTCAGCTTTGCATCAAAAAATAATATTATGGAATGATGATGAATATGAAGTAGTTTATGCTGATGTAGAAGCTTTTATGATTGATACTAAACAAGATTTTCCCAGGGTTCTTGTGAAGTCAACGCCAAAGACAGATGAGATTGTACTCAAACTTGACTCTCAGTCAGATCCTAAGCTGAAAAGTGTCAAGTGCAATTGCTAAAATAGAATAGGCTGATGCAGATGAAGATAAACACAACTCCCCTACAAAGTCTAGCTCTGGATTTGATGTACTAAAGATTGGATATATTTAGTATCTTTTCTGTGTACAGTTGTAATTTAAACAAGATTTTATGATTAATTACACAAAAAACAAGTTCAAATTTGGTACTTTCTTAGCTCTTCAAAATTTATATGCAAGTTACTACTCTTAATATGATATAGAGGTTAACAC